TGCCCGATGTGCTAACCTGGATTGTCCTAACGCTTATCGCGGCTTAAGGAATGTTCAACATTGTTGTTTCTTCCATTGTTGTTATTGAGGCGCGTGTTTCCATACCAAAATTTGTACATACGTTGGGATTCATCTAATTCAACCGAAGTTGTTCGTGGCATGAATCCGAATTCGACTGTTTTGTGCTTTAGCTTAGATCTCACTTGTACCTCTTCGCATTCGTTGATTGCATTTACATTTCATGTTTGTTACCATTCTGCGCAAAAATGACTGACAATTGAAGTGGTGGTTAAATGTGCACCATTTTCCGCAAACCACTCCCAAGAACCCAACTGCTATAACGTGGCCGCAGGTCGCCATATTATGTAAGGAACGAGCATTTTGCCGCAACGCTTAGGGTGCCACTGATGAAGCTTCGCTCGCAGTACTCTCAGTCCCACGTGCAATTCTTTGTGATTTTTTCTCTTTGGCTCACAAACCGTTGATTATCCCTCATTGGGTCATGTGGTTCCCTCAAACCTTGCAAGCTGCCATCGTTCTAGGACTTCCTGGGCTCACATCATCGACTTGCGTTTGCTTGCCGTAGTGGTTCAATGCGTACCGGTGACACTCTATTGCATGGCATTTTTTGTTGAATTTACATATTGATATTTAATCTCACACCAGATTCTGTATGACGTACAATTTGTGCCTGATGTGCTAGTCTGGAATGTGCTAGCGAATAGCGCGCCTTGAAGAGCATTCAAACTTGTTTGTCCTTTTTTCGTTTGTTGGTCATCTGACGCGTCTTTCCATACCGAACGTTTTACACGCGTTGGGATCCATCTCCTCCTACTGGAACGGTTGTTGGCATGTATTCGAATGCGACGTTTCTCATTTTTCTCATATTCTCCTGTCACCCCTTCGCATTCGTCGCTTAGATTCACTATTCACGATTGTGGCCTGATTATCCCTGGGTCATGTGGTTCCCTCAAACCTTGCAAGCTGCCATCGTTCTAGGACTTCCTGGGCTCACATCATCGACTTGCGTTTGCTTGCCGTAGTGGTTCAATGCGTACCGGTGACACTCTATTGCATGGCATTTTTTGTTGAATTTACATATTGATATTTAATCTCACACCAGATTCTGTATGACGTACAATTTGTGCCTGATGTGCTAGTCTGGAATGTGCTAGCGAATAGCGCGCCTTGAAGAGCATTCAAGCTTGTTTGTCCTTTTTTCGTTTGTTGGTCATCTGACGCGTCTTTCCATACCGAACGTTTTACACGCGTTGGGATCCATCTCCTCCTACTGGAACGGTTGTTGGCATGTATTCGAATGCGACGTTTCTCATTTTTCTCATATTCTCCTGTCACCCCTTCGCATTCGTCGCTTAGATTCACTATTCACGATTGTGGCCATTGTGTTCAAAAATAATTGGGAACATTAATGGTCAGTTTACTCCCTTTTGCACGGAGTCCCGCTACCTGAGAAGATGAAGAATTCACGGGTCATAACCATGTGGTTTGAACTGGGTCGAGCAATGTCATACAGAATAAACGCCACAGATTTTGCAAAAGTCACTGAATGTAGACCGGCCGGACAGCCGGAATTCTATCCGCCTCAGAATTAGGCGCATTATTGGAGCGATGACGGTTAACGTAAAATTGACCGCATTTCTTGTATTGTCATCTCAGTTATCCCTAACGAACGCGTTCAGTAGTAGCGCAAAGTCGGCGCACAAGCCGATAAACTGGCGTTAACTTTGGAGTCGTGTGTAAGCAAAGTGCCCGATTTGACTGTGAAAGGAATGCATAAATGTAACATGCCTGTGGGGTTGTTTATGTGTGCATTTTGCCTGTTGTGTGCCTGACGGGGCCCATTGTTCTTGTTTTTGATCTGCAGCTTGGTCTAGTGCTGAATGACGTCTGCATCCCTGAAGATTTTCCTTTTGTTCATGAGTGCACCAGGCAAATCAGATCATGTCCGTGATGCTTGATTTTGGTCAACGTATTTCGTCCTAAATAAACGTCGAAGCTTTTGAGTGGCTCATTTCGAAACTAAAATTTTAAACTACAATTGATGTTTGTTTATGCGTCTTTTTCCACGAACAATTTACTAGAATCCAACTAACATGACTTAGTTGCTGGTAGTGTAAATAAAATGCCGACGCCCGTGGAGTCCCACTACCTGAAGTTTAGAAACCACGTGAAAGCTCTAATGCAAATTTATCCTCAAAAGAAACTTCACCATTGGAGTTGAAGCCGCCTAAAATTGCAAATTATGTGAACTGTGACTTTGTGACATTGCACAAGTAAACATCGGATGGAACGGGCGAATATCCATTGAGTGGGAGCGTTGTTCCCAAATCCTCATTATCTGATTCAACGGCATTGTTCTAACGTGCAGGGACAGATTACTCGAGACACCCAGGACCAACGAGATCGACGAATTTGTTAACGCCGAACCAGCGCTTTGTCACAACGCTCAGTGTGCACAGTCTGTCGCTGTTTGTACCCCACTGGGTTCGTCCTCGCACATATATATATATATATGCCCCACCATAGGTGTCTTAAACTAACACACGGGCCCCGAGGCTTGGCGTAACCGCCTCCATATACCTACCATCGGAAGCTGACGCCACATGCCCCCACATTTCGACATGGAAAAAACGGCAAACATTTTGGTGATCCTCACCTGTACGCCACCCAGCTCCGTGATAGTATGTGGCAGGACGTTCAGGTCTAGTTAGCGCTCTTGGACAGGGTCCATTTTGCACAGTAAATGGAGCAGTGATCCATTTCACATGTAATTCCGTGGTTTACTTTGAAGAAGCAACTGGATGCTTTAGTTTGATGACTGACACTTTCGCGCTGCTTAGGATACTAATGATTTGTCGGTTTAGATCTTGGTCAGTTCAGTAGACTCAGCGGTTTGTCGCAAGCCTATCACTTTGTTGTCTTAAGGACATCATGCGCAAAAACTACCCTGGAAGCCAATACTCAGATTGGCTATCATAGGGACGGAAAAGTCGAGCGCGAATCTGATGATGATGTGTGGATAATGTAAGCCTCCAGAAATCCCTCGTTCATGGTCCCTGACAGCGAGGACGAAAGGTTGGTTTGGTCGTCGTGATGCTATTAGCGTCCGCGTACTGCTCCAGAGGACTCACTATGGTCGGAATGAAAAAACCGCAGTCCACAAGCAGGCTCTCATTTGTGAGTAGTTTCAGTGCCGTGATACGACTGAATGGTGATGATTCGTAATACCCCTGTGAATTGTGCACCTATACATGAGTGACACTTTTGTGGCGTGAATTCACTCTGGCCGTTGGTGTGCGTAAATGTAGCCACTTTTTGACTTGTCTTCCGGAACGAATCTGCTTGCGAGTTCCTGTTCCCAATTACGGGACATTTGCTGAAAGTTTGTATCCCTGCGTGTTGATGAAACTCAATATGAGATCACAATAACACGATGGAATGAAACCAGATGAAATCAGATCAGAAGCACTAGAAAGAGCTTGAGCGTCCAACCATTGGCTATGTGATGAGTCGGCTGGTGACCAAGTTTACGGAAACCAAGTGAAAACACAGGTTCTTACTATATTCGTGGATTCGGAGACTGCTTCTTAAAATCTTCGTAAGGAGGTGATTGCTGAAAAGCTACAGGCAAGATTAAGCCTAACTTGGGGCACGTGAAATTCATGAGGACAGAAGCCTTGTGAAATTAGAAATTGTCCGCATTTATCTGTGGACATTTCACATCCAACGCCATGGCAACATCCACTGGGGAATTCTGATTCTTTCACTGAATGAAAGGTTCAGTGAGATATTGGTCGACTGGGTAATGATAGTTGGTCGGTACATACACTGAAAACAAGCTGACATCCCTCAAATGATTTTGCACTCTCATACTGCGATACAGAAACTTTCGAAATCATGAAGCTCGTGTGGAGTGGCACGTTAACGTTTACGGTGAAGTATTAGAATTTTTAAAGTTTATTCTGTGTAAATCAGGTTGCACGTTGACAGCCAAAGACGGACCTACGACCTACTCGACTTAGAATATTGGTAATGAACGGAACGTTTGGTGAAACACGGTTCAACTGTTTTTATGGGATTTTGGCTTGTGCTTTAAACGAACCCATTGAAGTTGCTTTCGGGTTAGGAGTTTGTCAGCGCTAAAGGTCGCGCTCGACAAGCGCACCTATGACCAATCAAACTCATTAATTAACTCATCCAGAAACCTATGTACAGTTGTTTCAATTGATGCGGAAAATATGGCGTCGTCATTACTGTTAGCTAATTCAAATGGCTCAGGCATCAGTGATGTGGCTTGTATTCAACACCGTTTGATATAAAACGCTGCGTCGTTGTGTTCGGAAGCCTTGTTTTTGTAACCAGAAAGGTGGACAATATTGTTCGAGCCATTCATATTGGATTTCGTTAACATAGTACTCGCCTGCCCACCTTTAATTCTTGGTGAACGTTGTGCGGAGTAGACACACTTCGTGAGCGCAACGTCCTTTGGATTGAGCTGGTACAAATTTATAGAGGAGTCTGAATTCGTTTTCAAAACATCTGCACAAAACCTATCTTGTTCAAACCCTATACGGACGTACATTCGAAAATTCCGGTAAAATGCCTTCCTCGCAGGAATATCGCTATGACCATCTCGCAAACTTCCAAATGTATACTGCGAAGCAGTGACACCTTTCGTTATTTTTTTACATTTTTGGTTGAAGAGAACGTCGTTCGCTGAAGGATGTTATATATAATCTGCTCTCATTTATTGATAATGCCTGGTATCCATAGGGGATATCCCTATTAAAGTACTGCGACCCAGGTTGAATTCGGGCAACATTCGGACGTCATCAGTGCAGCGGAACTACTACATTGTGCAAGGGGGTTCCATGGAATATATCCACCGCGAAGGGATTCGTGGCTTAGGCCATCTACTGCGCTCGTCCTTGGTGTGTTCCGGGGCAAATTCGAATTGGCGGAGCCAGAGGCATGGCTCTGCCTTGACCTAGCAATACGGCGGGAATGATATTGCGATGAGTCTATGCGGTGTCGGAGTGACTCGCCTACCGGGCTGGGGACAGCCTGAAACCACTGCGTTTTTGGTGAGTTGAATTGACCGTTCGTCAGCTCTGTTGCAGCGTGGTTCGCGTCCCTTCAAGTCGATTGGTCATTCCGAAAACTCCCGTTTTAGTAGTTTCCTCCTCCTTTTTGATTTGCCTCTTTGTCAATTCGCGTTGTCGAAACTTTTTCAAGCCGATTGCTAAGTTCGGCAGTGATCAACACCCACTAAACTCACTCGAGCTATCAATACTTCGACAGATTCCCTTCTGTAGTAACGGTACTTTCCTCAGTTTAGTTCTCTGTCTGACCCTCCCAAGGTAGCGTTCACGACAAAACACCCCTTATAGGTGCACAAGGTCTACCGACCCCCAAAACGAAGTCAAAAACATTTGTACAGCGCTTCCTATATACAACGTATGCGGTTATACGTTTCTGGAATTTCTGACGCGTTCTGGATGCGCCATTGGCACCGGGCATTTGGCCAATCCTGGGTCATGATTGGCTGTTGAGTCCAGATTGTCGACCAATCAGAACTCGTCTTGATGCCGGAACGGCAAGTCTCCTGAATTCTGGGCCAACCTCGAGCGGGCCAGGTTTCTCGGCCGTGGCAGCGCCTAAAGACGTGTGTTATAGTGGGATCCGCGTGGATTGCTGCCTAACACTTCCCGCTTGAAATTTCTCGACGTAGCTTCGAACCCGGGGTTTGACTTACATTGGCCCCACTGGCTTGCGGATCCTGTCTGTCCAGCGTCGCAGTTGTAATCCTTGCTCAGGCTGGGCCTCTGACGAAGCAACTGATTGAATTTCTGGGATGATGCCTAGATCAAAAGTGTCCAGAAGCATTTCTTGACTCATATCGCTCGGTCCCTCCTCCTTGAATCGTGAAGTGCCCGTTTGAGAGTGTCAACACAGCGTTCCGCATGGCCGTTCGACCGTGGATGAAACGGCGGTGAGCTACTATGCATTATGCCATACTCCCGACAAAAGTGTGAGAACGCCGACGACGTAAACTGACTGCCGTTTTCGGATACAATTTTCTCTGGCGTCCCAAAACGACTGAAGAATCGCCGGAGTTCCAGGACAGTAGTGGCAGTTGTGGGGCTGTTCCCCAGAACAATTTCCGGCCCCTTGCTGTATGCATCGACCAGGGCCACCGGACCTGTAGAATCGATGTGAAGACGAGACCAGGGTTCGGTCGGTTGTGGCCGAGCTTAGGTAGGTTTACACCGGTGGCTTTTTATGCTCCAGCGCACCGCAGGCAAGATTTCGAGTCTCGCTTGATCTGGGAGTCCATCAAAGACCAGTAGACATAACTCCAAGCAGGGACCTTTATCCTGTTTTTTCCCGGGTGCCCCTTATGTACCTGATTCAGGACGGCTGGTTGTAACTTCTTTCGAATAACCACACGTTCTGAAAACAACAGGCATCCATCGGCTAGTGATAGTGCGTCACGCCTGTGGAAGTAAGGGCTCAGTTCGTCTCTTTGGCAGGTGCGCGGCCACTGATTGCGATGGTACTTTATGACTTGCTGCAACACAATGTCTTGGGCGGTAGCCTGGCGGACCATGTCGGCAGTCACTGGGAGGGTGCGAGCCGATTCGGACACTACATGGTCAACTCCTGGTCCAAGGCAATCGTTGCGACTACGGTATCTTCTGGTTCTGGTCTGCTTGAATCAATGAGTCGGGACGTTGCGTCGGCTTGTTCCAGGCTGGTGGTGGACTGGAATTTTTTCTTGATGTCGTACCCCAGAAGCAGAGTGGCTCGTGGTTGGAGTCGGTTGGCAGTGAATTCCGAAATTCCTTTCTTCGATCCAAACACAGCAAAGAGTCGCTTGTGATCGGTCAGCAGAGTAAACTGACGGCCGTAGAGCATATAATGAAACTTTTTAATGGCAAACACGATCGCCAAGGCTTCCTTTTTTATCTGATTTCAGTTGGGCTCGACTGATGTCAGGGATCGGGCTGCGTGGGCGATGGCTTTCTGGCTGCCATCTGGAAATGCGTGTGAAATCACTGCGCCAACTCCATTGTTACAGGCGTCCGACGCCACAACGATTTCCATCGATGGATCGTAGTGCGGGCGTAGCCAATCGGAACTTAGCATGGATTTGAAAGAGTCAAAGGGGCGTTGACATTTTTCTGCCCATGTCCACTTGTGGTCCTTGGTAAGTAGCTGATTTAGTTGGCCTCGAAGGCGATGCATAGCAGGCAGGAACGAACTGTAGTGACTGACGAGACCGGTGGAGAATTCTTCGCACAACCGGATCGTCCCGTTAGCCTTCTTAACCAACCCGATAGGTGCGGCCCAAGCAGAATAGTTGGTTGGTTGGAGATCACCCGCAATTAGAAGTCGGTCGAGTTCTTGGTCAACGATAGGCAAGACTGCATAAGGCACTGGACGTTTTGGCCGGAAGACTGGCTTGGCACCAGGGAGGAGGCACAGTCTGGCGCTTGCTTTTGTACACCGTCCAAGCTCGTCAGTGAATACAGTTGTATAACGTTGTAGGAGGTGCTCAAGTGAATGCTTTGGCAAATCAACTTGTCCGGGTGCTGCTTGTATGCCGTTGCAAGTAGAGTTGATTGGCTTATCCAGCAGATTTAGCGTTTCGATCCAATCTAGCCCCACGAGATCAAGTTTGGGGCATGACGTCAGGTAGCAGGTGGCTTGTGCTGTCCAGTCATTGAAGTTAATGAGGCAGTCAAACTTGCCAGTCAACTTCAGTTTACCGAACGCTCCCCGAAGGGTAAAACAAGGATAAAGCATTTTGAAAACCAGTTGGACGCGTTATTGATGCACAAGGTGAAGTATCATTCAAATGATTCTAATCACGATGATTCGTTTGTGCACTTCATCTGCCAACCTGATTTTGCGGTCAACTAACCTGTTCACAATGCCTCAGTATGATATTAATGGCCTTGCCAACCGGTTGAAAAATCATGTTCGATAGTGCTCAACTATTATTTGGACGTACCTAAGAAACGGGCTTGATAGTGGGGTAGCACGAGAACTCTGAGTGCCAAGAAATTTTTTTTGTCGGAATTTATCAGACCACCTCGGATGTGTCCGGAAAATAGTATAAGAACAATGTCTTCGCCATTCGTGGTCATCGCTCAACGAAGCACTAGGCCACGTGAATCCTCCCTTTTCACTCAGCTGAGTATATTTTGCGAGCAGTATAATGCCTGAAGGCAAATCTGAAGGTAACGAAACCGATTCGCAAAGCACAGAGGAGAGTGAAGTAGAAAATTCCAAGTATTTGGAAGCATTCTTAATTGGGCGTTGCCATAGTGCATTTTGTTAGACCGGGAAGTTGACCTGGTTTTGGGAACCGGACTGCAAGACGGACCACCGGCAAATTGTGCCACCACGTTCGTGTGACCACTGCCCTTGATATGAACTCCGCAGTTGACTGCCAAATAAGCTTTTGATTTGAAGCACTTTTCACAGACATCACACTTGACCAACAAGCATCAGTCAATCAGCGTGCTGTTTGGATCTGGTTGTTTGGTTGTGCCGATGAATGGTCAGAGTAGCCAAGACACTGAAATTAAACATAATGGTTGCCAAAATCCTAGGTCATCAACTGGACACCGGAGATAGCTGCCTGATAGCAGAATGCGCTCTGTCTCTAAGGCGGTTGCAGGTGGATGCACGGAATCCGTTAAAAATAAAACCGGCTTTTTATTTGAATGAATTAATCCAAAAATCACCGCATAGTTAGACAATAGGTGTGCGAATTCAAATATTACCACGCCAAAAGACAAGCAGAAAATTTGTACGAACGGATCCGTAGTAGGACCATAAGATTCGTATAAACGAAGCAGTTTGGTCGTAAACTTATTGGTTGGAGGGTTACAGAGCAAGAGCATAATGGTCCTGATCATGGTCCAGTCCCTCATACGGGCCATGTGGCACAGACACCATCCAAGTGGTATTCGACCTCCAACTGAACCGCCATTTCCGTGTTGGAGCAAATACACCGAATTTGAAAACTCCTGACCCCTCCAATAGACAATCCAGATCTTGCGTCGTGCAGGGAGATAATGTCGCATAAATTGCGACAAGCACCGTGGTAATATACTGTTAATCAACATTATTATTCACTTATCGATATATCCATCCATCAAACCGTCATCGCGGCCCAGTGAAAATTAAAGAAAATACCGATTCGACCACCGCGCCGAGTGATTCCTTTGGTTGAACAAGGCCTTGGGAATATAAGTTCAATTTGTACGGGCTCTATTGACAAATCCTGTTCTTAAGCATTGGCTATTTGATGGGATCGTTTAGACCAAGAGCATTCCAGTTTGGCACGTCGGTCGGGCTAAGCGAACGGGACACTCTTGAACCGACTGACCGATATTGCAACTTCCGCAACAGCGAGCAACAATGAGTTCAGATAGTCTTTGTGATATACTCTGTGTATCGATCGACCGTTTGTCTCTGTGCACAATCCGCATTAGGTTGACGGTTATTTAGCGACACCACCGTAACGATTAGTTTGTTTTGTGTGAAATTTAACAACCCATGAATAGAAATATCACCAAATATTCAAAGGCTGGAGAAACTGCCAGAATGGACACAACATTACGGAAGATTTCAACCCACACCACTTTGTAAAATAAGTATGATAACAGACAGGCAGGACGATAGAAGGATTGTTCGGCTGTAAAAACTTGTGTCTGAGGCAGTGAGTGCTTGTTTCGGGCAACATCAAGGAAACTGAAATTGTTCCACATTCACGTATGCATGAATGCGCCCAGGCTCGTCAGATCAATTTGATTTCACCAATCTCAGCGAATCTGAGTCCATCACGAAAATGTGTGCGAGGACAAATTCAGCGATACAATGTGCACACTAAGCATTGTGACAAAGCGCTGGTTCAGCGCGACTCATTCGTCGATCTTGGGAGACTCAAATTATGCGTCCCTGTACGTCACATGAATGCCATTGAATCAGAACCGAGAAAGTTTAAAAGATTGTTCAAACTCAAAAGATTGTCATACACCCAATCCACTATTTCCCTACGAAACGCCACAGTGTCTGGTTACATATAATTTGCCCGTTCAGGTGATTTCAACGCATATGGCGCAGTTGCCGTATCTGCGACCGTTATAGTAGTTGAATTCTGGTGGATGATGTGTGAAGAATGGCGCGCAACTAACAATCAACTTAAGTTTAGAACGAGTACTTCACCACACAATGATCCATTCAAAAACACTTCCGTTTATTCTTTAGGAAATTCGTTGATACGGCTTAGACAACATGGATATGACCCGATTTACCGGGTGCACTCGCAAACAAAGTGAAAAACGTGAATTCCGTGATGCAGGCGTCATTGAAAACGGGACGAAAGTGCAATACAAGACCATGGGGCGTTGTCAGCCACAGAATGACAACATGAACAAACTCATCCTCCCGGGCATTGTACATTTATGCATTCGTTGCACAGTCGAATCGTTCACTCTAGTAACGCATGATTCCAAATTTAAGGCCAGTGTGTCGACCTGTGCACTGATTCTGCCATACTAATGAACAAACTGGTTTGCAGTAAGTAAGAAGACAAAACAAAAATTGCAGTCAATTTGACGTTCATCGCCATCGTTGTATTTTTCTCTTGAAGTACTTCTAACACTTAGGAGGATGGCATGGCAGTTCACTGGCTAATCTCTTTTTAGTTACTTTTGCTACCTGCCCTGCTACAGAGCTTTCCCAATCACAGCAACTACGAATATTCCTCGCGAAACATGTGAAATTTCCTCGAACTGACGGGATTCATCTGCCACGCGTCCTTATAAGTCTCAACAATGTGCATAGGTCAGATCAGCTATAGAAATCTTTGCAATTAAAATTGCGACGACGAATCCGTGGGGTAAAATAAGCGGTAAATTTTTCGCAGTCGACGATGTGACAAACACGACTTCAGATCAAATTCGGCGTAATTATCGAATCCTCGGACGTACTCGAACAGAACTGTTTGTTTTGCCGATGATCACTCAAGACGGATTGTGATCGTGCGATAATTCTTAGTCCTTGACATGGTGACTGAGTTATGTGAAGGAGTGGGAAAATGCTGGGCTTCATCGCTATCCATTCAAATTTCAAGTAGATGCTTCGTGCGTACCTCCAAAAAATTGGAGGGCGAATGATACTGTATATATCGATTTAGCTGTCAGATTTCCACTGTATGCGTGATGAAAAGCGCGGAGAATCTCTGGACAGAATGAGCAATTGGCCAGAAGTGTTCCCCATTAACGTCTATCGGCCACTCCTGGCCGAACGCTTAAGCGTTCAAACTACTAGCCCGGAGGTCGCGGGTTCGAGACTCTTCGGAGTTTCGTGAGATGCACACTGCTGATGATTCCGAATAAGAATAAAACAGCTGCACAGTGCTTCTCGGTGGATTGGCTCCACTGACAGGACGAAATATCCGCATAAAAATCTCTGCATAGAATTTCTATATCGACTAGACAGAATGAGCAACTGGCCAGAATTGTTCGCTGTTAAAGCCTGTCCGGTTGGTTACGTGGTCATTCCACCAATCACTGGTCTCGGGAAGCGTTGCGTGATATCACTTAATCTGGAAAACAAATCAACCCCTAGTGTTTCCAGTTTGCTGAATCTCGCCGCAACGAATCTTCATTGCATTTTGTTACAATTGGCGTACTTGAAGAGTCAGTTTCAGCAGAATATGCAGCCGATGTTCTTCAGAGACCGGAACTTTCAGGTTCATAAGCAAGATCACGTGACGGGTGAGAAAACGGGTTACAACATACCGTTCGACCGATCACAGAAGCCGATGCGAGTTGCAATAATCTGCGTGTTGCGGAGTAGCAGGGACTTTCGGAGAATCTAATGGCAGAAGTCGTGTGCCCATTTCAAATTTCACCTGCAGATAACTCATGCCCCGCATTCCATATTATACTCATAAATGTCCAACTAACTGTAACTAGGGTACATCATGGTATATGGTAAGGTCAAGACTGGTGAGCTGTTGAATTGTTCCATTTTATTTTGAAATTCCCCTGGTTTGTGCTACGTTGTCACTCAACATCACTCACGGTTTGCACTACTAGAGAGGACAGCACACCTTATCCACATGACGGTGCTAGTGAATAGTTTCTCGTCTCAGATGTGTCTTCAACAGCGACCACATTAGGAGAGCTAAGAACGGCCAAAGCTCCAAAGCAGTATGATTTGTTATTATTCTATTGTGAAACTAATAAAGAGGCAAACACACATGAGCCCGTTAACCAGAGCCCAGGCATGATGCATACATGCTCAAGCTCTACAGCCATCTTCCATTCCTGCATGTCGTTCAAACTCAAATCGTGCACAGTGTCCACACCACTCTTAATTTAATACCAATATTTTGGGGTGCGCAACCAGCTCTGGTCGTTGGTGAACGCGTAGTTTTGTACTACACGCGTCCATTGCACGCCAAATACTGATGTGTACCAAATGGCTTTTCTTAGGCTGGTGTATGTTTAGTGACTTTCGCTGCGTGGACTGCGATAAAGCGCTTGAAATCAGATCACCGAAGAATATTTCTCGGAGTAAATGTTACATAGTGGATACGCTATATTAGACGGAGATTTGTTACAATGGAATGTAGACGAGATTCTCAGGTAAAAGATAGTTTCGTGGGGGGTTTTCAGGATATTTCTGACATAATTGCCCCCAAGATCGGTACAATTACTTGAATGCAGCTTTTATTCAGCTTTATCCAGCAAGGCTGTTTCAAAGTACGCCTGTAAGTTACAAACACGCTCAATGCCCTCATCATTCTTACTTTCATTTCACGGTTGACTCGTGCACCTTGGTCACACAACACGTCAAATTCCAAATTAACGCGTTGACCTTGTGTGTCTGTCTGTTTCCAAATGATGAATCCATTATATTGCACTCCTACTCGGAAGCTGGTTTTTCTGAATGTTTTGGTTGAATAGTTGCGATCTGTCTGTAATATGTTGAAGAATATCTCGTAGGCTGGTTTCCATTCATTCTTCCACACTTGCCTTGTACTGGTGAAACTCGCCACACCAGTATTAAAAAATTCGTGAGCAAAAAGATCCAGACGTGCACTAGATAGCGATAAACTGTCTAAACCCAACCCATAGAAGGGAAGGGTGTTGCCTCGTTTCTACTGAGGAAACAAAGAGGCCATTACCATTTGTGCAAACTCTTCGAATTCCCATCGGTTGATTGAACCAGGTATGGTTCGACAAGTCGACGGTGAAATAGCCCTGTTTGTGCTGGAAGTGGCACTTTGGAAGTTCTGTCTGTATGACCGAGTGCAACTGATGTTTGACGTATCACAATTTATGCCCCCACCTCACCCAAAACCCATTGGGAAGAAATAAGTTTGAGGTCAAATACTTCTAAGGGCAGCAATGAGGGTCCTCGGTGCGGTGCCTATAGTTGCCATCATTGCACTAAGTTCAATATTCCATGTGCTCGGATCTTCCAGTATGACGCTGCAATTCAGTGCGATGTGATGAAAATGAATCTGGCCTTGATGTTCAGTTAAACGAGGGCGCGGATGAATATGAGATTCCTACCACGTAGCAGTACGACATTATTTGCGCACCCGATATCGGCCACCGAATTTCAGCGTTGTGTTCCCCTAAGACCATTACTGTAATTCAAATGCGGTGCCGATATTTTACTCGGTAAATCTGATCGTTATTATTCCATTGTAGAATTATTGTTTGACTTTGTCCGCTGATGTAATTCATGACTTAAGCTGTGTCTCTTGGGTGGTGATGCGGTGAAGTAATTCCGTGACCTATTTTCTGCATGATATTGTAACAAAGATCACTTCTAAACTGATCTGGGAGACAACACACTAACATGCTATGATTGGAACTCATCGGCGCCGGACCATATTCGCATAGGCTTCATTAATCAGTGAGTGTACCCTTAGACGTTCGAATGGATTTAGTGTAGGTCGCTCAGCCTTACGCATGTTGGGCTGGTATCTAAATATGAATTTGCATTAATTTCACAAACGACCCCACTTTCCCCTCTAATATAATTATATTTCCACCTTGATGTGGATTTTCCATGAGAAAATTAATATTTTCTCTCATTTACTTTTTTTGCTCTTCCTCTCTCTCCTGATTGGGCGTAACATGCTTACCTGGAGTCTAGGAGCTATTTTATCGACAACTTGATGGGAGTCAAACACAAATGGTTGCTAATATCCGTTCTTACGGCCGACCAATGCCTGTGAGTTTTCCCCTTCTCAAGCTCGCCTTTATTTAACCGGAGTTTGATATGGCGTGAAACATACATCTTGGATGTGACTGACAGCAGATAAACTTCTGCATCGATACGATCAAGATCATTGGTCTCAGTGCTTCCGGATCGCAATTCATTACCTTTACACATTCACTGCGCACTCTGCTCGGATTTGGCTTGACGGTTGGCTTTGGGTTCACAAATGTACTCAGATACATCCAAAAATAGTATTCCGGTGGCTTAATATCCTCAAGGATATGACTGCAGGCTTTCAACGCGTGGGGTTGTAAATTGTGGATTGCTATATGTGTAACGGCAGAAAGCACTGATGGGACATGCGAGTAGTATGTTTCCTCGTAAATCCGCTCTTGCAGTGGAGTGTGACACACCAGCCAACCACGGTTCAAGATGGTCAAAGGTGGGACCTGGATAAGATCCGAGCGTGTTCTTCGCCAGCCTGCAGCAGGCACTGGATGGTGATTTGTTGGAACTGGATAGAGTGTCGCGGAACCAGTAGCTGTCCGACCACTTCGTCGAAGCTTTGAAACCTTTATCTCGTGCTCATTTCGGCTTAGCGAGAGCAACTGGCCAGTTGAGTGGGGAGCTCTTGGTGAATGTTGCACGGGAATCGGCCGAGTCTCCGCTTACCACGTTGCAGCCGCAGGAGAACAGGGATGATTCACCAGTAGAGGAGCTATGGACCCAAGTTGAGCAACTAGCCGGACAGCTTCCAGCCATCAAGCTGGAGCATTCCCTAACAAACTGATGCTAAAAGTGTGTGCCTGGCAATGCCACGTATCTACTTCGATTTTGTTTCGCAATGGTGGCTGGGACACTCCCGCCATCCACCAATCTAATCATTTTTCCATTAGACTTGTAAGATGTCACTTTGCAAGTCTAAGGAATCATTTCTCTGAGTTTCACTATACCTGCGAAATGATTTTGTGTGCTACGCATTCTCCCCTCTCTGTTTAACTGATCAGTCATCGTGAAACGTGCTACATTTCCGTCGCATAGAGAATTTAGTCTGACGCTTTTTGGTGTCTGGTCTCGTGTGTTGAGGGTTGTGCGGGACGTGACAAAGATGCATGTTATTGTTAAATGAACGGACTGATTACGGTCAGATGTGAGCAGGTAGGTAACTAGTATAAACGAGTCTTGTTTTGATGGGGATTCATGTAGGCGCGACCTTCCCCACCCAAATATTCCTTAGCTCTGTGCACTTCAGTTTGCGCAGCTTTAGGTAGGCTGTATTGAGTGTCTTTTTTCTTCATTAATGAGCATCCTGGATGATACTATCCTACGACAGAACATTTTATCCAAAGGGTGTTGAAGGGGACATGGTATATCTTGGATGATTCTAACGTGGAGCTCGAATTCGAGCACTTCCGGCACCAGAGAGACTAGTATTAGTTTTACCGGCAGAGAAAATACGCTCAAGGTGAATGGGATCCGGGTTTTGCGCTTGCCTGAGAGGTCCTCATACTGTAAACATTGCATATCGTCCACCTGTGATCTTTTTTTCGGTTTGCCTCTCGAATTAAGATCCGTTTGTGGGGATGTCCTTCACCTGATGGATATAGTTGGTTTAATACTTCAAGACACTCCATTTGCCCCTAACTTGCTTGGATAGCAAACCTTGATCTTTTCGGTCTAATCATTTTAGGGCCTCGCAAAATTTTTTCGTTACAACGTCTTTTTACTTGAATAGTGATATCACGAATCGCGCAAATTTGACAATAGCAGTCTTTCGCTAACTCGGAGTATCTCCGAAAATATCACCGCTTAGAGAATCCATGTTTTTACCGATCGTATGGGTGATGGCTTGCCAACAAATTTGGTTACAAAAGAATTATCTGGAGGCTTCGAATGTGAGCCTGACTTTGAATGATTGTGTTCCACGCACCTGCGTAAGAGGCATCAACGGACAAAACGGCAATGGCTTGATCTTTATAAATAGTGTCTCGTCAAATAGTGATACGACAGCCAAATGAAACGATCACAAATTGCAATCTATGCTTGCCAGCTTTGTTTTTTTGATGACTTCCACGAAGTCGTCCAGCCACTTTGCGCATCCTTGCTCCGCCAGCAGCCTTTGTGATAAGAAACTAATTAAGCCTGGTTTTGGTTCCCTCGCAGTCACATGAACTGCAATGCAGTGAACAGCGAACCGCCCGGTGGTACCATTCAGAGAAGGGTCGATGAAGGTGAGTTCAGACCAACCGTGGTGGCAGCGAGTCTGGTACTACTTATAGTATCCATGCTGCTGAACAGGTTCGGAATGTATATCACAAGGGGCGGTTGATACGGTCGTTAACAACTTGTGGCAAATTTGAATTTTGTTTCATGACAATCAGCATAAGTACTGTGGGCCTACGCTCTCGAATCTCATCTCAATTGACTTTTGTGTAGCACGTCTGATTCGAAGGTGTTTTACACTTAAACGGTTGTCATCCTTTAGATCCCCTAGGCTTGCAGACTGAGCGCCGCTTCTTTCTTCGGTGAGGTCACTTCGGTCTTTTGCACAGTTTTGATCCAACAAGCCCGCTCGGTCATTACAATTTTTCATAGCGGAGTGAGATATTTCTGTCAATTCGACTAAGGGGAAATCCTTACATATGCGATCATCGAAATCGGTTGTTCGGCTTCCCGATGAGGATTAACCTGCAAATTCGTCTTGTTCCCAAAAATATTTAGATGTCTTCGCGCCTCTGAATCTTGTTCCCCTAAATCGACCTTTCTCTGGCTAAGTAATTTAGACACCATTCCATTCAAGCCCCTGTAGATCAAAGACGCTTGGACAAGTCATGCAAAAATTTGTCCAAAATAAATTACTCCTCACATTTTTTCGTGCGTGACACAAATTTCATAATTCTCTGGTGACATATGTGTGAGTCCACTTTGAAAGTGGTTGCATTGTGTCGTATTACAACGTTGGGTGTGTTAGCTGTAAGAAGTCGCCTAGTGTTATGTCAGGCTTAGTTCGCGGGCTAATTCTATGGTTGTTGTGCGCTCTCATGCAAAAACAAAGCGGTTCCTGATTGGCCACAAAACATTCGTCCAACCGTGACGTTAGATAGGGTGGCAGTGATTGTCTAAAAGCGCGAGGAGTACCAGTTCACACATGCAGCAGGTGTTTAACGGAGAATAATGTTACGGTACCCGGCTATTCTCCTCGTCGTTTTCGGATGCAAGTTGAGTGTGCGAGGTGATGTGCAGCGACATAGAAATAGTTGGGCTGATTTGACCCCATTATGTGGAGAACACAAATGTCATTTTCTACTTCAAAATTAATGAAACCTTTGTGCGTTCATTTTCCCGCTAGCTTTCGACTCACATTCCAACTGACAAACAACCGATACATAATAATTGCATTGATATTGTTTCCGTAAATCTGTCGCCAATCGACCCAACGGACGTGAGTAGGCAGAGTCAAGGTAGACGCAAGTTGAATGCCCATTTAGGATAACCAATAATTAGTCAAAAATTTAACTGCCCATCGCTAATCCCCCACGTAGATCGTGGAATTTATAAAGAGACCCTTCAATCTGCAAGTTAATTGACGCTTGTCCGGTCTGAAAAATTGGCTTCGCTGATGCATTTATAGGTTACAGCGAAACGAAGGGGATTGCGTGGGCTGCAACATCTTGCTTTTATCTAGTAAACTAGTTAGGTCCGGTCCATAAGTCCAAAACAAGCGAATCTCCAAAAAAACGA